GGGGGCAGTTTTACGTGGCTTGCTTAAGTGATGGCGTCCACTGGAAGAACAAATGTTCCGTTGAATCTTCAACGCAAGACGTAGCCTTTCGACGTGGTTGTTCCACTTGCATTAACAGGACTTTTATCAGGCGTTATCCTTCAAAAAAGACCATTAATATTAAACCTTATTCAGACGTTCTGTCCTCTTTGTACTGAGTCCGATATTTTGATATTTGAGTGGCTTCTGTTACATCAGAATTTTCATCTCGTCCTTCGTGAGGTGATCGGCACGTATCCGCGAGTTTAACGTTCGTCCCTTGAATGTAATCGGCAGAGGGCGGAGGAGAGACAACGATCGGTTACTTTGAGGCTTGCTGCATCAACTGGTGCTGCCAGTTGAAGCGATAGCCGCGACTGCCCGATGTTTTCAGACAAGGCAGTATGTAGGCGCCTTGCCTCAAAAGGCAGGTATAATGAAGGTGAAACCCGCAGATTCGCGCCGACTGCTGTACAGCATCCGTTATTTATGCAATTTCAGTGGCATCCATCAACGCGCACGGCACTGAAAACACGTGTCTTTTATCTGAAGTCAGGGGTTCTCAACCTTTTTCACCCTTTTATCGATTCGCGAGTCGGAACTTCGTGATAGTTTATTGGAAATACGAGTACATCCACGTTTACATGTTACTCAACGGTTTCTTTTGTAAAATAAATCATTGGTAACATGTTTGATACTTTTTTCGTAATGTTTCAGTATCTGGTGACTGATTTTTGAAGCAGGTGGGACGTTTAGTAACCACTAGACTGTAAGATTGATCTGAACTGCCAGATATTTGCGACATCGACAGGTTCTTTCCCGTTCTTTCGTCACAAAGGAACATATAGCCAGAAACTACAAAACATTTTAGCAGACTAGGGGTGGAGAACCCCTGTCGTAGGCTATCTTTATTGCGTTCGCAAGGTCGGTGCTTGAGATGGCCTGAGAGTCAAAACTTGTGCCAGAAAGTAGTTTTGGATGCTCGTGGCCTGATGTGACAGCAGATTTGTAAAAATTTCTGACGAGGAGACAAGAGACGGGACTGTTTCACTCTGTAAGTGGATTTTGATGTGATTTCTTAATCCTTACATGACTTATAAAAAAAAAGAGAGGCAGGTTTGACGCCTATCGTCGTTTTGACATTTTCTTGCTGTAAGATGTCGCTAACAGCCACGGTGGGCTAGCGGTTAGAACGCTGGCCTTGTAATCCTGGGGTCTCGGGTTCGATTCCCCGAGGTGCCCGAATTTATAACTTGTGTTCGGCAAGGCCGTTGTCTAGGCAACACGGAGTTTTCCTCCGGGGGCTTCCCAACAATTACTCCATTCACACACAGAAGAAGGCAATGGCAAACCACTTCTGGATCATCTGCCAAGAACGTATATGAACAGGTCCCAGTCCGAGAAAAGGATGGAAGGATCCTGTTCATATGGACCTGTCATCAGACAGAACACTAAATAA